TTTGCTTGTGGGTCATCCCTTAAGAGGAAATGATACAGATTTCCTCAACCATACATTGATCCAAAAGCACAGATGCCCCTTGGCTTGCTGGGTGGTTAACACCTGATAAGCCTGTGGCCACCATCAGCTGCAAAGACTGTGAGTGGAAACTGCACTTTATTACTCTTACCAGTGCATCACAGTTTAGCAAGAGCACAGCACAAAGAGTCAGCTACTCCCCTCTGCTACCTGGAGGTGTGTCTCTCTGTGTGACTGCCTAGAATCCCAAGCAAGGACCAGAGGGCATGTTGCATACAGATTCAAAATTCCCAGTGCAGCCTCTAGTTTCACACCATGGTAAACTCATAGGCCAGCACTCTCTGTGGTTGTGTTTTCTGTCTCTGACCTTCACATTCCCTGGGCTTGTAAAAGGCCAGCCCTTCTCTGTCACTTCCTATGGGGCTTCAAGTCATTCCTCATGCCTCAGCCCCTCCCCAGAACAGGTGGTTCACTCGAAATCCAGCAGGGCTGTGGCTTCCTGGGGTGTGGGGTGCATGTGGGAGGTCATGGAACCCTGGTTTGGACTCTAAAATCAGCACTAATGTTTGAGGCAGGTGCAGCTGCACTGGGAGGAAGATGAGCACTTGTCCAGTGCCCATTCTGCTCCAGGAAGTGTGTGCCCCGTGATTTGCTGTAGGGTGTGCCCTGAATTTAGGAGCGCAGGCTCATTGTGGGTGTTACCCTGAAGTGCTTCCGGCAGAGGAGAGGCACAGAGATCATCGTGGGGCTCAGAGAGCAGGTGGACAGCAGCAATACAGAAAGCTGGGTGTGGAGGCTGGCAGGACACCACGGTTGGGGTTTCCTGACAGCTATTTCAAAAATATTCCCAGTGCCCAGAGCCTTACCCTATCATTTACCAGGTGAGATGCCCCAAGATCATTGCCACACACTGCTGCTGGCTCTTCCTGTGACTCTGATTGCTAGCGCAGTGATGTCAGTGTTGACCCCATTTTTAAAATAATGGAGTTGAGAGAAGTCAAGTGACCTCCCCTACCCCTCAACACATGGGCACAGTTGAAGTCAAACCTGGATGAGTCTGACCCCCTAGTGTGTGTGTGACCTTTCCCTATACCCTGTGTCCTTGGGCTCCTCCCTCTGCTGCTGTTCCACAGCACACCCAACCCTTGTTCTAGGCACAGAGCTAACCCAGCTGACTCTAGAGACAGCTGGCCTTCCTTGGTGTCCTTGCTGTCCTTGCCCCTTACCTGCTCACCCCACTGACAGCTTATTTCCATAGCTATGCATACGCATGCATATGTCCGAATACACATGAGGAATGCTCCTTTTACTGTCTTGATAGCGTTAGTGGAGTCAGCTAACTGTGAGAACTTGGCTAGTGATGATGAGAGCACAAAGACAGGGAGAGACAGAAGTGGTTTAAAGGGCCCACATCAGGCCACACACAGCTTAGTAACCCTGTATCCCCAGGGTTGTGGTGATGGAGCAGGAATCTGAGGTGGTCAGTACTTCCAGTCCCCATGAAGACATAATGAGTGAGAGCTAAGTGTAAAGACAAATTCTTTCCCCAGCACTGCCAGGAGACATCAGGCAGCTCTGTCCCTGGTGCCCACTGAAGCATCAAGACCCTCTGTTTTGGAGGCACTGTTGGGCTGTCTGAGTGAACCTGTCACCTGATGCTACTGCCACTGGCATCTATGATTAAATCAGCCTCAGAGGTTCTTTGTGCCCTTCCCTTTCCAAAGAAACCTGACCTGCCCTTCACCGCCCACTGTCACAGCTGTCCTTTGAGGAAGTGAAGATAGGGGGGTGCCTTATGTTGGGGCCTGGGGGGACCTTCTTCCTCTGATGTCAGAGTCCCCACCTGCCTGGAAAGCACATGGGGTGTCCACACGCAAGCAGTCTGGTTCATGAATCTGGCAGCGATGTAGTTAACTTTGGGCTCGCAGCTCTCAGCATCTTGCAGGGACCTCTTTGCCCACCAGAATGTTATTCCTATCTCTCTGCAGTGTGGCCTGGCTGTGCTCGAGTGCTGCCTGGAAATGTTCTCTGTCAAACTGTCCTCTTCCCCCAGTGGATAATGAGAATTCAACTTTTATATGGAGCAAGAGTTCCCAAGAGGTCACATGGCCCCATAAGGAAAGATCATGATTTCTTATTGGTTTAGTAGCATCTATTTTGTAATTCTGAATGTGCTCTGTTTAATTGGATTTGTTAAAGGAACAAAGGGGAATAGGTGTCTTACAATTAAAATAAAATACTAAGATTATTAGTATAGCGGGTTAGAAACACCTTGTTCACCAGCCATGTGCTCAAAACATGCAAACTGGCCTCACACAAGCAGAAGCCAAAGGGCCTGCGGCAGAGCCGGTTCTTCCCAGCCCAAGACAGGGCACATGGGTTTCATTTCCACGGAGGTGTCTGCAACATCACCTGCTTCCTCCTCACAGTCCCTCCCCTTGTACACTAGGAAACGGGGTTCCTGGCAGTGATAAGACAGGGAGGCTGGGAGAACACAAGGGGCCCTTAGAGCAGGTGGTCTGGTCCCTGGCTCCCTGCTCACCATCCCGGACAGCCCAGGTGGTCACCTGTGCTCGCTGAACATTGCTTCCAGCTGCTGCCAATGGATGAACAAATGACTGCTCCCAGGGCTGGGCGACATGAGGGCTGGGTGCTCCCTGGCTATGACTTTGTAGGAAGTGCAGTATGGCACATATGGACAGTATCACTGACCCAAGATAGAGCCCAGACCACAGGATCCCACCTGGGTAAAACCCCATTTGGACCCTGTGGCCAAGCACCCTCTTGGGCAATGGCATCCTCGCCTTTCCAGGCACAGGCTTTATTGGATCCTGAGGACCCAGGGACACAGAGACCTGCAGTACATGGCCCTGCATCATGTCAGGGTGTAGCTGGGTCCTGTGGCCTTTGCTATGTGCACTCCTTCTGCCCCAGGCACCTCCTGGCCTGGAGCTTAATCACCTCCAGCCACTGTTTCTCCATCTACTTTTAGCAGATGTTTACAATAGGAAGCATATTTTCTAAGTGAGAGATTTCCTGGGGGAGACTCGGTTGTCACCTGTGAAACAAGTCTTTGCTGATCCCTCATTGCGAACCTGGCCCTGGCTGTAGTTTCCTGGGGGCAGGAGTGCTGTCCATACAGATACTATGATGTGTGAATTGTGTGACCGTGTGAACCTGTGCTGGAAGGGGGCCCAGGGGGCCACAGCTGGAGCTGTTTAACTGAGTTAAGCCTGGAAGAGAAGGAAGAGCATTCAGAGGTAGAGAGCACAGACTGCAGTCAAGGCAGAGGGCAGGGCTGACAACCTGGAAGAGATGCACCCAGGCTGTGGATTCTGTGTTTTCTGTGCCTTATCTCATTTGATGCACCCCACTTCACAGATAAAACACGGGATCTCTCCATCCTGTCCTTTGTCAAAGTCACACACTGAGGCAGAACCAGGCGCTGCTGAAGTGCCCTTCCTGAGCACCTAACTGCCATTGGGCTCTTCTATGGGAGTTTTACTTTACAAAATTCTGGGACAAATTCACGTCACTGGGTGGACAGAACCTGGACTCACACTGTTCTGCAGGTCAGACCCCTCCTCATGGTGCCTCCCAAACTGAAAAGAAGGGAGGTGCACATCCCCAGACCCTGCTCTGGGGATTAGGGCACATGGTGTGCTCTGAGAATGGTTGAGAGCTCAGAACTGAGTCAGCAGATTGTGGATCAGGTGAGGCGTGGACACTGGCCAGGACTGGGGCAGGTGGCTTCGCCCACCTGTGGCCTACAGGGTGAGGGACTCCCTGGGATTTCTTTTTTTTTTGGTACTGGGAATCGAACTCAGGACCTTGTGCTTTCCAGGCAGGAACTGTGCTGCTGAGCTATAACTCCTGCCCTCCCTTGGATTTCATGCCCATGTCACGCTACTGATCTGGGGAGGCATGGGGGAGCACTGGGCATCAGCAGGGGACCTGGGGACAGCAGTCATCTCAGCCTCCTTCTCCCCTGGAGGTTCCCACCCCAGCTGGAGGCCAGGCGAGCACTGTCCCTTCGTGCACAGTGGCTCTCAGTCTCAACCATCCTGCACCCACCGTCTGTGGTCTGAGAGCTGTTAGTCAGCACTCAGCTCTTGGGGAACCTGAATGGTTCATGAAAGCATTGGGAGCCCTTTGAAAAGCAGCAGTGCTGCACTGTGACACAGGAAAATTAGATTCCTGCATGTGTGGATTATGTGGGCCACCTGCCCCAACCCTGGCCTCTCACAGACCCCATAGTGATTCTGTAACTGCCTGATGCACTGAGTTTTGTGTCCACTAGCACACATCGCACCTGAGGTCCAGAGAGGCCGACTAGTTTGACCAAAGTCACAGAGACTCTGAGAAGGGACCTGCCTTTTCCCAACACATAGCCATGAAAACGGGGACTCAACTCGAGGGGTGTGCTCTAGCGTGTGCCCTGAGGAAAACCCTGCTCAGCCCAGGACTAAACCCCTGTCTGCTGGGCTCCAGGATCAGGGTGAGCTATAGGCGTTCGCTCCCAGATTCACCCCTAGTGACCGGGTGTGTATGGTTGAAGGAGTTCAGCGCTCTGCATTCCCTTTCCAGTTTCTCTGGATGAAGGTAGGTGGTTCAAACACTGGCCTGTGCCTGAGGGTGGGGGCAGGGAGGGGGCAGGGAGCGGGCAGCCACAGTTTGGAAGGAGAATCAAGTGTGACCCCAAAGCCCCACTAATTCACAAACCTCCCTGGCACCCAAAGACCCCTAGCTATGTCCCCTACTGGCAGCCACCCTTCTTGGCCAGGCTCAGGGCAAGCTGTGGACTGTAAATAATGCATCAGCTGGTATGTGGGGTCATTAAATATAGTGCCTGCCTGGAGCGCAGTGGTTCTAGAGCTGCTCACTCAAGGAGGGCAGGAAAAAAGCAATTTGAAGCAGCAGTAGTTTGGCAAAGTTAAAGCAAGCTATCGACAATAACAGGGCCAGCACACAAGCAGACTTACCCGTCCCAAGTCCTCCTCCTCCACTGGGAAACTTTGTCACCAGGCAACAAGAGAGTTGGCACCTGGAGCGAATTAGCATAATCACCAGGCCAGCCTACAAGAGGGAAGGAGGAAAGGCTCACTGTGTGCCGGACTTCCTGTCCAGGCGGCAGGCGAATCCCTGAGCAGAGGGACGGGCCTCGGGTCCCTGTGACTCTGAAGGCTGGCGAGTTCTCAGGTTCAGCCAGTGGGCAGTGGGAGAGGATCACCTATCCACAGAGCCTAACCTTGGCTCACAGGGACGAAGCTACAGAGGTCCTTTACCAGGGATATAGCTCTCATAGCGTTCATTCCCATGGAGCACCACACCACTTCCTTTTAGTTTGCCTGCATGCTTTGTTTTGCTTTGTGGGTTGGTGACTCTGTTCTTTGGTTTGAGTGAGGACTGTCTTTTGTGTTTACTGACTTGGATTTAATTTCTTGTAATTTTGTTTCTCTTTGTACTCTTTTCAGATTAAGTCTGAGTAACCATAATGCTCATAAAGCCATACAACCCTGTAATTATTTTCTTCCGAATTGATTTTATGCCATGCTGTTTCTGAAGCCTTCGTCTTTAATGAAAGCCTATGATGGACTCTGGGGACCCCACTTTCTTGGTGTTTCTGGGGCAGCCTTTCCCTAATAAGGACGGCAGTGAATGCTTTTGTGCATTTATAGTCTCTTTTTTCATTTTTTTCTTTAGGTTTCCAGTAATTGAGAAAACTAGCAAAACAAGTTAGTACTAGCATTATTAGGCAGCATAGAAAAATTAGAAATTGCATATATCCTATATTACATATAGAAAGAAAAACTAAAAGTGCTTTAAGTTTCTCTGCCTAGACACAAATTAAGAAAAGAAGTAAAAACAATTAGCAAGTAAATACAATTAATAACTTAAAATTAATAAAATTTTGGAAAGTACAAAAAAAAACAAAATGAAACGACTTGAATTTTAAAATAAAAATAAAAGGAGCCATAAAATAAAAAAGATATCTATAATTTTTTTTTTTTTTTTTTTTTTTATAAGTATTTTAAGATTCAAAAATAGCACACACACACAGCTGTTGACTAAACTGTTTTCAGTTTAAAATCTGGCTCTCTTTCCTCCTAGTAAGTCTCACTAAGTTTCAGAATCAATGAAATAGCTTAATTATGTAACCTGGCATTACATTTAGAAAAAACATACTTGTACTTGCCAACATGTCAGAGGCAGACCACTTTTTTTTTTTTTAATTTTAAAAATAAAAGTAGGAAAATATTAACAGACAGACAACCTTTTACAAAATAGCAAAAGAACAGTACAGGCAATACAGAGTTACAAACAAAGTGGTAGAAAATTAACAATGCTTGTTGTATTACATATTGGTATCTTCAAAGTGGTTTCTCATGAAAACAGAGACATGCAATATTGATCAATCAAGGACTCACTGACAGTTTCTTTCAGCAAGGAAATAAAAGACAGTAGAACAGCTATGTTAACTATCTTGTATATTACATACACACAAAATTTCTCCTTCTTTTCCCCCATTCCAGTTGCCCTTTACCCTTGAGCGTTTTCCTATCATTTCACAATGTCCATCATACCTCCGAGTTTAAATTAACTCTTTCAGGTTTTACACTAGGGAGACAAGGCGGTGCTTGCACATGCAGGTCTGATTTATTTCGCTTATGAGTATGGTCTCTAGTTGTGACCATTTACCTATAAA